GTCCATTGTTATGGAATGTCTACTTCAACGACCTTCTTCATCTCATCCCAGAATCACATGCATATGCAGACGACTGTACACTGACATTCACTTATCCAAGAGAAGAAATGCCAGCTGCTCTAAGCTACATCAATCACCAGCTGAGAGCTATATCAGCTTGGGGAAATAGATGGCAAGTAACATTTGCACCTGAGAAAATGCAAATGATGATGGTCTCTAGGCACCATGATGATAATGCTGGTGCAGTAGTAAGGATGAATGGGAGGGTGTTGGCACCTGGAGAAGAAGTTGATATCCTTGGGGTGAAATTTGACTCCAAACTAACCATAAGAACCATGTTGTAAATCTTGCAAACAAGGCAGCCAGGAAGCTTACAGCACTTCACCGTATCTCGCATCTACTTGACAGTAGGGGTTGCAAGATTCTGTACGAGGCACAAGTACGCTCGCACCTTGAGTATGCTCCACTTTCTTGGTTTGCCTGCCCCCTCTCATCTGCGACTGCTTGACAGAGTAGAGAACAGAGCAAGACGTCTCATCTCTCGCCTGGACCCATCCTGGATAGATCTGTCATTTCAGCAGAGCCTTCAACATAGGAGGGATGTGGGTGGCCTTACTGTTATGTACAAGGCCAATATTGTCAAAGTACCACACTTGGATCCACTTCGAGGACAGCGTGAAACAAGCTTTTATGCCACAAGACGGGCAGAAAGCAGCAACTTCACTCTGGCTGTACCCTTCTCCAGAACATCACTCCATCTGAGATCATATATACCCAAGATGACTCGAGTATGGAACACATTCGTACAGCATAATGATGTCAACGAGATAAAGTCAGTTGATCAAATGAAAATGCTGGCCCACAGATGACTCTAACTTCATCCTGTTCCCTACTTGTATGTCTCATAATAAAAATGCTTTCAAATGAGCTGATGTAGGTAACAGCTCTTAGCTTGCCAATAAAGCTAGGGATCCTTAACCTGTAAATAGCTTGTCAATAAAGCTAGGAATCCTTAACCTTGTCAAACCCTGTGTAAAAAAAAAAAGAAGAGAGAGAGGAAGAGAGGAAAAGAGACAAAGAGACGGAGAGAGAAGGAAAAGTTAGAAGGTCAATTCACATAAAGGTGTGAAATCCTGTATATGTGTGTATGTGTATGTGTGTATGTGTGTGTGTGTGTGTGTGTGTGTACTCACCTAGTTGTACTCACCTAGTTGAGGTTGCGGGGGTCGAGTCCGAGCTCCTGGCCCCGCCTCTTCACTGATCGCTACTAGGTCACTCTCCCCGAGCCGTGAGCTTTATCATACCTCTGCTTAAAGCTATGTATGGATCCTGCCTCCACTACATCGCTTCCCAAACTATTCCACTTACGGGACTACTCTGTGGCTGAAGAAATACTTCCTAAACATCCCTGTGATTCATCTGTGTCTTTAGCTTCCAACTGTGTCCCCTTGTTACTGTGTCCAATCTCTGGAACATCTGTCTTTGTCCACCTTGTCAATTCCCCTCAGTATTTGTATGTCGTTATCATGTCCCCCCTATCTCCCCTTTGTCCTCCAGTGTCGTCAGGTTGATTTCCCTTAAACCCTCTCCTCGTAGGACATACCTCTTAGCTCTGGGAACTAGTCTTGTTGCAAACCTTTGCACTTTCTCTAGTTTCTTTACGTGCTTGGCTAGGTGTGGGTTCCCAAACTGGTGCCGCATACTCCAATATGGGCCTAACGTATAGGGTTGAAACAGGGTCCTGAACGATTCCTTATTAAGATGTCGGAATGCTGTTCTGAGGTTTGCTGGGCGCCATATGCTGCAGCAGTTATTTGGTTGATGTGCGCTTCAGGAGATGTGCCTGGTGTTTATCCACCCCCCAAGATCTTTTTCCTTGGTGAGGTTTTTTAGTCTCTGACCCCCTAGACTGTACCTCCGTCTGGGGGCCTTCTTTGCCCTTCCCCAATCTTCAGGGACTTTGCACTTGGTGGGATTGAACTCCAGGAGCAATTGCGGGACCGGTCTGCAGCCTGTCCAGATCCCTTTGTAGTTCTGCCTGGTCTTCGATCGGTGTATTCTTCTCATCAACTTCACGTCATCTGCAAACAGGGAAAACCCTCAGAGTCTATTCCTTCGTTCATGTCGTTCACAAATACAGGAACAGCACTGGTCCTAGGACTGACCCCTGCGGGACCCCGCTGGTCACAGGTGCCCACTCGACACCTCGCCACGTACCATGACTCGCTGCTGTCTTCCTGACAAGTATTCCCCGATCCATTGTTGTGCCTTCCTGTTATCCCTGCTTGGTCCTCCAGTTTTGCACCAATCTCTTGTGTGGAACTGTGTTTAAACGCCTTCTTGCAGTCCAAGAAAATGCAATCCACCCACCCCTCTCTCTTTTGTCTTACTGCTGTCACCATGTCATAGAACTCCAGTAGGTTTGTGGGCACAGGGGTTTCCCGTCCCTGAAACCATGTGGCTGCTGTTGATGAGATCATTCCTTTCTAGGTGTTTCCACCAAATCTTTCCTGAAAAATCTTCTCCATGATTTTGCATACTATACATGTTTAGTGAAAACTGGGCTGTAGTTTAGTGCTTCATGTCTGTCTCCTTTTTTAAAGATGGGGACTACATTTGCAGTCTTCCTGGGCCCCAGGCAATCTCCCTGTTTCGATAGATGTATTGAATATTGTTGTTAGGGGTACAACATAGCGCCTTGCTCCCTCTCTCAATACCCATGGGGAGATGTTATCTGGCCCCATTGCCTTTGAGGTATCTAGCTCACTCAGAAGCCTCTTCACTTCTTCCTCGGTTGTGTGCACTGTGTCCCCGCACTTGGCGGTGTGCCCACCTCTCCGTCTTTCTGGAGTCCTTCTGTCTCCTCTGTGAACACTTCTTTGAATCTCTTGTTGAGTTCTTACATTTCTTCACGGTCATTTCCTGTTGTCTCTCCTCCTTCCTTCTTAGCCTGATTACCTGGTCCTTGACTGTTGTTTTCCCCCTGATGTGGCTGTACAACAGTTTCGGGTCGATTTGGCTTTCGCTGCTATGTCATTTTCATATTGTCTTTGGGCCTCCCTTCTTATCTGTGCATATTCGTTTCTGGCTCTACGACTGTTCTCCTTATTCTCCCGGGTCCTTTGCCTTCTATATTTCTTCCATTCCCTAGCACACTTGGTTTTTGCCCCCCTGCACCTTTGGGTAAACCATGGGCTCATCTGGCTTTTCATTACTCCTGTTACCCTTGGGTACAAACCTCTCCTCACCCTCCTTGCATTTTGTTGCTACATATTCCATCATCTCATTAACTGGCTTCCTTGCCAGTTCTCTGTTCCACAAAACCCCGTTCAGGTAGTTCTCATTCCTGGGGAAAGTCCTCTTTCTTGTAGTTTGGCTTCATTCGTCCTGGCCTTCCTGCTTCTCCCTCCACTTGTAGCTCTTACTGTGTATTCGAATCTTAAAACCACATTGGTCACTGGCCCCAAGGGGTCTTTCATATGCGATGTTCCTCGATATCTGCCCCTCTGAAGGTGAATACTAAGTCCAGCCTTGCTGGTTCATCCTCTCCTCTCTCTCTTGTAGTGTCCCTTACGTGTTGGTACATGAAGTTCTCCAGTACCACCTCCATCATCTTAGCCCTCCATGTATCTTGGCCCCCAAAGTGGGTCCAAGTTCTCCCAATCGATCTCCTTGTGGTTAAAGTCACCCATGATCAGGAGCTTTGCCCTGCGTGTGTGTGTGTGTGTGTGTGTGTGTGTGTGTGTGTGCTACAGCTATTCAAGTGCCTAACAGCAAATCCTGTTCTCACCTAGTGTGTGTGTATGTGTGTGTGTATGCGTGCGTTTATGTAAGCAGTCCTTATTTCCCTCGTATGTAACTACATATGTTTTGCATATGTACCCTATCTCTTGGTTTTCCACTGTACTGTCTTGTGTGCCTAAAATTATGTAAATTCACATAAAGGTGTGAAATCCTGTATATGTGTGTGTGTGTATGTGTGTGTGTGTGTGTGTGTGTGTGTGTGGTTATGTGTGTGTATGTGTGTGTATGTGTGTGTATGTGTGTGTGTGTGTGTGGGGTGTGTATGTGTGTGTGTATGCGTGTGTTTATGTAAGCAGTCCTTAATTTCCTCGTTGTACTACATATGTTTTGCATATGTACCCAATCCCTTGGTTCCCACTGTACTGTCTTGTGCCTAAAATTATGTTCAATTCTGTATGTCTAGGCTTCGCTAGGCTACCTCTCATACAAGGCTATCTATCATTAACTGCTTAACTCTCCTAAATCTCAATAAATTCTATTTTAAAAGCCAGTAAATGCTGCTTATCTAATTCTGATAGCTCGAGGAGAGTGACCCCCAATTTCCAGCTAGAGATGGTGCTGACCCCATGCAACTCAAACTAGGTGAATATTACGTGGGGGCTGGCAGTGGAGTAATGTTGTTTGTCCGTCCTGGGTCCAGTAGTTGAAAATGCTTGATGCTTCTCGGTAATTTTTCCACTAACTTCCTGTAGGCACTGTAGTCTCTAGCTCATCTATTTTTTTTTTCACTCACTCACTGTATTTACTGACACATCTATACATATCTCTTATCTCCCTGATCTTGAGTCACACTTATTCTTCAAATACCCCACTGTGTTATTATGGCTACACTATTTAGGGCTGACACAACCGTTCACCTTCCTTCCAACGGCCCCCACATGGTAACTGTCACTATTTACTAAATTGCTTTTCTGTGATCACTTATATTTCCTTTTTTTCGGGGCTTAAGTGATTATATTCACTCTTATGCGTGCACACGCCTATATCCCACACTCTATTCCTTATGATACAGTCAGAAATTACCACCAAAACACGAGCTCAAACCGGGTGACTCCTCCACGAGTGTGTGTAGGTGTGTGTGTGTTGTGTGTGTGTGTATGTGGATAAATCTAATTAAGCTTTGTCTCAGGAAATGCTGTGTCTCGTCTGTGCTGCACATTTGTTCTATCAGTTGGCCATGGTCTCTTACTTCCCAGGTGGGCGTGTGTGGGCTGGTCGTGGCCTACAACATAGTGGGAGCATTTGCCTTCAGAGCCATCGAGGGAGAGCTTGGGGACGCTCGGCCTGAGGAAGAAGCTTTCATCCTGCAGGAATCCACAGTGGCCCGCCTCTGGAACATCACTCTCCAGCTCAACATCCTGGAGGAGGCAAAGTGGAGGAGTGAGGTGGTGGGTGCTCTACGGGAGTACCAGAACACTCTGGTGCCCTTAGTCAAGAATAAAGGGTATAGAGGTGTACACCCAAGGCAAGCCTGGTCCTTCAGTGCAGCTCTCATGTATTCTCTCAGCGTCTACACCACCATTGGTACGTTCATCTACACACAACACACACACACACACACACACACACTACCTCACTTGCTAGACTATTCAATTTCCTGACTACTCTATGACAGTGACAAGGAAGCCTGCCAAAGCTGTGGAGGGATGTTGGAACCTCGTGAAGTAACATTGGCAGACTTACCTCCAAGTCTGGTTGAAGGTGGTTCTTACCGTGTCTCTTGCTTGTAAATTGCGTTTCTGTACAAATCCTCGGTAAATATTGTTTGGTGAAAGGAATATAAATGTAAGTATTTACTCACCACTGTCTTTTGCTCCTTCTAGTTTCTACCCTGGTTATCGTGATACTACCAGGCGTGCAGGCCGCTAGACTACACCCGTGTTATTAAAACCAACGTAAATATTACAGCCCGGCTGATAAGGGACTAGCTGGAGGAACGTGTCAGGTTCCATCTACAAGAATGTACTATGATGCTTCTACTATTTGCTCTTCCCGGTCATCACGCTAATTTGTTATGACGTCTGCATTAGTATACCTTGCCTTCAGTTTCCTTTTCGTTATTGTGATTGTTTTGGTGATCCTGTTCTCCTGATTCGTGTCCAGGTGTCAGGTATGGACGGAGTGGGTATTTGAGAGTGAAGTTTGAGAGGCTTGTCCTCTCCTGTATTACTGTTGTGGTTTGATTATAATTTCTAGTAAAAAATGTTAGTTTTGAGAACAAGAGCATCGATCACACTCATTTATATACTTACAGGTAAAGCCAGAGTAATTTAAAATAAAAGTAAACTGGTTAAACTTCTAACTTGCACTGTCCCCTTGTTAGTGCGTCCTCTCCAGAGATGACGCCACTCTGCCACAGTGCTCTTTCCAATAAAACTGAACAAAATTTGCCTATGATTTAATAATTTCAAGAACAGTCATTACTATAATTTAAAGTACATACATTTTTATCATTGGCAGTGAAATCCATTAAAAAGTAACAAATTTCCTTATATTCCCTACACATAGATCTGGGATAATGGCAACAACAGGGAGGAATGTCATGGGAAATATTTGGAGAACTACATCAACCTCGACTTCGCTTGTCAAGAAAAAGAGGGCGTTGATTTTCCACAATGTATTGGGAAAACCTCAATTAAGCTGAGACTCCTTCTGGAAGGTGTAACCACAACTTGTAAAAGAAGGATGAAGATTATTTCGAACTGCAAGCTGTCAATGGTTAAATTAAATGAGGAGGTGTATGAGGCAGCAGCGCCTCGCCTCAGCAAGTACATTCCACGAAGACAAACATTGTGAGAAGCGCAGTGTGCGCTTCTCACAATACTGTACACAAAGTTGCACAGGCCAAGAAGCCTTACACAATCGTAGAGCAACTTGTGCTCCCTTGTGCAAAAGAGATGGTGCCACTTATTCTCGGCCAGGAATCAGCAAGGACTCTAACATATCTGTCTCTAACAACACAGTATCTACATGGATAAATGAGACACCATAGTACTTCAGTGACTTAAGATGTGTATGAAATAAAGAAACCCCCATTATCTGCCATACAACTGAATGAATTGACCGGTGTCGTTATTGTGTTCTCAGCTACTGGTGTTCACGTGATACATTCTTGAGGGATACCTCAAGACGAGTTTCGTATTTGTAAGGCTCTTGATAACACCACAAAGACAGACCATGAGCTCGATATTGTTAATAATTTTTTTGAAGAACATGGCTTGTATTAGGTCTTGTAGGAGTTACCACTGATAGTTCACTTGTCATGATTTTATGATCAGGCTTTAAAACGTTGGTGGTAACCTGAGTCAGTTATCCCAAAACATGTCGTCGGTGCTAATCTCTTTAAAATAAGATCATCTCCCCTAGACCTATTGTCTTCAATACGACGACAGGAAATTTCCTGAAAACAAATGTCAGATACGTTCATAATCAGAATTTGAAGTCATTTATAAAGAAAAAAATTGGAGTCTGACGGCATGTTTGTGATAACTGACATGTCACTAATCTTGTGGTCGATTGGTCATTACTACATATTCAGTGCTTATGGGAATATATATTTTTATGCTCATATTCTGTAATATGCTGCTGTCTCCATTTTCTTGCACATAACGGTCTGCTTGGCGCCCATTTCTGTTTTTCTGAAGAAAGTCATTTCCCAGAACGAATCTGCCTGGAAGTTTCTAATGATGAGTTGATTGCAACACGAAAGGCCTACAGCTATCATTCAACTCCGCCTGTGGTTCATCAAGAACTGCAAGAAGCCCTTTCCGCGCGCCTTTAGCATTTTATAGAGAGCGAGCACAGAAACAGGGGTCATCCCACTCTCACTGAAAACAACAGACAGCGCCACTCCACAAAGGTGGCAGTAAAGCAATTTCAGTGAATTACAGAGCGATATCACTAACGTAACACACCATAAAAATCTTTGAAAGGGTTTAAGAAGCAAGATCGCCACCCACTTAGATATCCATAAGTTACACAACGTAGGGCAACATTGGTATAGAGCAGGTCGCTCCTGTCTATCCCAACTGATGGACCACTATGACATGGTCTTGGATACTTTGGAGTACAAGAAAAATGCAGATTTAGTAGACACAGACTCTGCGAAAGCCTTCAACAAGTGGTGTAATAACTCACAAAATGCGTGTTAAAGGAATAACAAGAAAAGTTGGTACATGGGTCTATAACTTCCTAACAATAGAGGCTACAGTGAAAAGCTCTGTTCCACAAAACACAGAACTCACTCCCATCCTGTTCTTCATCCCCATATCTAACATAGACAGAGATGTAAGCCACAACACCGTGTCTTCCTTTGCGGATGACACCCAATATTCATGACAGTATGAACATTAAAATGGTATAAAATACCGACAGATTGTTAGGTAAGACACATATGCAACAGTTAGGTATCTTTATTTCGAAACGTTTCGCCTACACAGTAGGCTTCTTCAGTCGAGTACAGAAAAGTTGATAGAAGCAGAAGATACTTGAAGACGATGTAATCAGTCCATCACCCTTAAAGTTTTGAGGTGGTCAGTCCCTCAGTCTGGAGAAGAGCATTGTTCCGTTGTCTGAAACAATATGAAACAAAACTTTAAGGGTGATGGACTGATTACATCGTCTTCAAGTATCTTCTGCTTCTATCAACTTTTCTGTACTCGACTGAAGAAGCCTACTGTGTAGGCGAAACGTTTCGAAATAAAGATACCTAACTGTTGCATATGTGTCTTACCTAACATTCATGACAGTGTCATCTATCAAAGACAATGCAAATCTCCAAGCGGACTTCAATCAAATCTTTAAATGGGCCACAGAGAACAACGTGAAGTCTAGTGAAGACAAATTTCAATTACCCCAGTATCGAAAACTGGAGGAAATTAAAATTGTATCGGAGTATAAAAAAATTCCAACCAAACAGTAGAGGGAAAAACTAATGTGAAGGACCAGCCCGAGCACATCAGTGAGCCTCATGCATGGTTATAAGCTATTTCAGTTATCTGTATGTTTTAACCTCACAAGCTATTTTATATATCAGTGCACCACGCAGAAACAAGTGGGTATATACAGAGAAAAATCACAGTCAACAGGAGTCGAACCCATTTAAGGGAGTCTAGTGACCTGCACACCTGATTGTAGCACGATAACCAAGGTAGAAACTAGAAACGAGTAAGAGACAGTGGTGAGTAAATACTTACGTATATTCCCTTCACCAAACAGCAAGCAATTATATATACAATATTTACAGAGGATATGTAGAGAAAGGCAATTTATAAGCAAGAGACACGGAAATAATCACCTTCGACCAGACTTTGAGGTAAGTCTGCCAATGTTGCTTCACGAGATTCCAACATCGCTTCACAGCTTCGTTGGGCTTCCTTTCACTGGCTGGTTGAACCAAGGTGCTAGCGTAACGAGGGGCCCCGCTCATTATACTCTTAGTATCTGGTTGGCTGGTTGGGAGGGCATGCCTAGATGAGTGTATAACATACACTCAATAATATGTACCGTACTTTTAGCATGCCAGAGTTGGCCTGCATGCTGCAACCATCATAAACCAGGAGGCCTAATCCGAAATCATATCATGGAGGCGCTGACCTTTTCAACTATCAACACGACACAATTGATTTATAAAGCATCATTCAGAGAACGTAATAATGATAACGTCATCATTATTAAAGTAAGTTATTGAGTAAGAAGAAACATTTGTCTTACAATAAGCCAGCAGTGTGCAGGTTTATATGTGCAGTAACTCTCTAATCTCTTGTTTACGATTCATTTATATTTTGATTTTTTTTTGTGCTCACGCATTTCCATACATCACGGTAAACTGTTTATAAAACTGAGATAACGAAACAAAATCAAAAAGTATGAAAAACGAATTTTAAAGCAGTTATTCTGGGAGAAATATGCAAACCCTTGGCAGCAGCGGGGGGCCGGAACCCCTCCGGCATTATTGATTTATTTTAAGCTCAGGGTTTTTTTTAAGCTGTATCTGTACATTTCGTGTATGTGTTATAAATAACAACGGAGTATAAATATAATCGCGTTAGATTAACAAGCTGTGGAAAGAGAATGTTTCCAGAAGAAAAGTTCCACGACGTTCAGATGTTTAAGTGGACTGAAGACGATTATTAATTGTTGAAGAATATCTTACTTTGTTAATGTTTTAGTAATTAGTGTAACTCTTTGATCAGTTTATTGACGAGTAAGAAAAATCAAGGAGAAAAGTAATCCTGACTAAATTAATTAATGGGATCAGGGAGAAACACGATAAGATGTGCAGGGGT